AAGCTCTAGGTAACCCTAATGTTAAAATGTATTCAACAATACTTCTTAAATGTAATAGTGTTAAGAGAAGCTCTAGGTAACCCTAATGTTAAAATGTATTCAACAATACTTCTTAAATGTAATAGTGTTAAGAGAAGCTCTAGGTAACCCTAATGTTACAATGTATTCAACAATACTTTTAAATGTAATAGTGTTAAAAGAAAGGTGAAGGAGGTTAGCAGTAGCAGTTTCAGTCAGTTTACATAACTGTGAAGGAGGTTAACAGTAACAGTTTCAGTCAGTTCACATAGCTGTGAAGGAAGTTAACAATAACAATGTTTGATTATATACATTATTTAGAGTTACTGAGGAGGTTAACAGTAGCAGTTTCAGTTAGTTTACATAGCTGTGAAAGAGGTTAACAATAACAATGTTTGATTATATACATTATGTAGAGTTACTGAGGAGGTTAACAGTAGCAGTTTCAGTTAGTTTACATAGCTGTGAAAGAGGTTAACAATAACAATGTTTCATTATATACATTATGTAGAGTTACTGAGGAGGTTAACAGTAGCAGTTTCAGTCAGTTTACATAACTGTGAAGGAGGTTAACAATAACAATGTTTGATTATATACATTATGTAGAGTTACTGAGGAGGTTAACAATAACAATGTTTGATTATATACATTATGTAGAGTTACTGAGGAGGTTAACAGTAGCAGTTTGAGTCAGTTTACATAACTGTGAAGGAGGTTAACAATAACAATGTTTGATTATATACATTATTTAGAGTTACTGGGGAGGTTAACAGTAGCAGTTTCAGTTAGTTTACATAACTGTGAAGGAGGTTAACAATAACAATGTTTGATTATATACATTATGTAGAGTTACTGAGGAGGTTAACAGTAGCAGTTTCAGTCAGTTTACATAACTGTGAAGGAGGTTAACAATAACAATGTTTGATTATATACATTATGTAGAGTTACTGAGGAGGTTAACAGTAGCAGTTTGAGTCAGTTTCTAAAGGATACTATCAAGGAAGAAATGTTATCAACTTTTGGCAACGAGCTTGAGTCATTAAAGTTTGCTGTTCGTTCTTCAGCCGTTGGTGAGCTTATTTCTGCTTTCTTTCACTGATACAGAAAGAATTAGTATTGTAATAAACTTATGATAAATTTGATGTAAGTGTGCAAGCAGTTATAACATTTGTTGTATGTAAATGAGTGTACGATTTATGTGTTTTTACTTTACAACATTAAATTTTTAAATACGTTGTTTTAAACTCATAATGTGTGTAAAAACATCACACAGGAATTACTCATATTTGAAATCTTTTCTTAGGTAAACAATAGGATTTAGAGTGTTTGGTTTGTTTTGAATTTCACACAAACCTACTCGAGGGCTATCTACTCTAGCCGTCCATAATATAGTAGTGATAGACTAGAGGGAAAGCAGCTAGTCAACACCACCCACCGTCAACTCTGGGGTTTCTCTTTTACCAATGAATAGCTGGATTGTCCGTCACATTATATTGTTCCCATGGCTGAGAGGGCAAGAATGTTTGGTCACGGGGATTCAAACTCGAAACCTGCAGATTGAGAGCCAAATACCCTAACCATCAGGCCATGCCAGACCTAGGATTTAGTTGTAAACCACATTTAAAGTAGAAATTCCACTTTAAAGTAGAAATCGAGATGTAGTTAACAATCTCTGATGTGGCCATGATGGGAACTATATTGGGGAAACGGGAAAACAGTGCACAAATAAACACATATAAAAGTTGTTTGTTGAATTCCATTACTTGATATGCCACAGAATAAGCTGAATTACAAATGTTGTTTCACAAAATCAATGACAAGACCAGACATCATATTTAAGAAGATGAAAAGTTCTCCAGACACTGGAATGAATGAGGTTTGGAAATGACATGATACTCGTTTAGTTGGTCTTGATATAAGTGCCATATGTATAGACAATATATGTATATCTTACAGATTGTATGCACTCCTGTTTGATTAATATGTTTCTGTAAATTTATCTCAAACATTGTAACATTAGAATTACCAAGAATTTCTCTTAACACTAATGCATTTAAACATTTAAAAGTATTGTTGAATACATTGTAACATTAGGGTTACCTAGAGCTTCTCTTAACACTATTACATTTAAAAGTATTGTTGAATACATTGTAACATTAGGGTTACCTAGAGTTTCTCTTAACACTATTACATTTAAAAGTATTGTTGAATACATTGTAACATTAGGGTTACCTAGAGCTTCTCTTAACGCTATTACATTTAAAAGTATTGTTGAATACATTGTAACATTAGGGTTAACTAGAGTTTCTTTTAACACTATTACATTTAAAAGTATTGTTGAATACATTGTAACATTAGGGTTAACTAGAGGTTATGTAAACTGACTGAAACTGCTACTGTTAACCTCCTTCACAGTTATGTAAACTGACTGAAACTGCTACTGTTAACCTCCTTCACAGTTATGTAAACTGACTGAAACTGCTACTGTTAACCTCCTTCACAGTTATGTAAACTGACTGAAACTGTGAGAGGGTTAATCATTAATCGTGGTTAAACTAGCCGTGTAGTTTCATGTCAAAGTTAATCATTAACAGTGGTTAAACTAGATGTGTGGTTCTGTGTTAAAGTTAATCATTAACAGTGGTTACTTTTTGATTTACTATTTCTACTGATTTCTAAGTATATGAAAAATGTAACTCAAATTATATCCGACATTTCCAAAAAGTTTTCTTTGATTTTCAACTTTTTCTATTAAGATTAGAAATTTAAAACAATTATTTTGCATATTTCAGTTGCTTTATAAAAGTTTCTAACAGTAAAAAGGAAACAAAGTGAACTATGTTTGAGAAGTAGAACCAAACGTTCTACATTGAGAGCAAGCTGCTTCTCTTTGTACCTTTCAATACCAAAATTTAGATTTCAAAATCAACTTTGTGTGCCTTGACATAATTTTGCTTACGTGAAAATTTACTTATAGCTTGCGTGCCTCAAATACTTGTATTTGTACAACAGTTTTTTTTCTAACAGTTTCTCCACTCATGGGTACATAATGACATCTGCCGAACATTTGTTACCTGCCGATGCTAGTACCCTCTCCAGTTTTTCTCTTGAAAACAACAAGACAACTACTTTCGCTGGTGGTAAGCCACAAATGATACTCAATATAGTAGTAAAGCATTAATGAGAGGTTCAATGTCTTGTGGTGTATGAATCTTAAAACCTAAAGTTTTTAGCGATTTGGAGTCCCGAGTGACTTCATTTATGTGCTTTGTATTGTAGTTCCTCAGATCTTTAAGACATCAGATTTTGAAAACACTTGTTCAAAGAAAGTAATAACTTGAGTTTTTGTTTGAGTTATATTTTTGGGATTTCCAGGTAATAAAGAGTACAAGGTGAAGATCAGAAACTTAGGTCAAAAGTTCAATATCTTTAGTGGAGTAGATGGAAAATGGGAGGTTACTATCCACTTCATAAACTTGGAAGTTAATGGAGAATCGGGCTGGGGTTTTGTTCTTCTCCATAACAAGTATGTTTACTGTAAATTCAATAACAGAGTGTTTTAACATTAGAAAGTCATATAAAAACTTTGTTATTTGTTATTGACACATATGGTATTTAAACCAGGACTTTGCATACAATCTTGGTCACTTTTGAAAAAGTTCAAAGTTAAACAAAGGCAGACTCATTGTTTTCTGCTGTTAAAACAAGTTCCACATTTCAGATTAATCAGTACGATTTCCACTGTTTTATCAGTTTTATTTCTTTGTAATAGGAATTTGAAGGTTTTGTTCAACATAATAAATTTTATCCGTATTATCTATACAGTCCATTTTGAAATGAACATTAAACTGTTTTCTGGTTGTTTCTAAACAGGACTGAAAGAATGTTAAAACCACTGGACGTCCCACTTGAATTCCCTCTTGTAGACAAAGGTATAAAATGTTTACTGTACTTAGTAATGATATAAGTCGTCAAAAGCTATATTTACTGAATGTTGTGAATGTTTTAATACTGAGAGCTATTGGAGTAGCATGTCAATGCAAACAGGAATCATGTCATGAGAGAAGAAATGTTTAACATTTATTTGTTTAACAGCACATTCCCTACTATTTGGTATCCATTGTCAGGATGTGTGTACTTACATCTGGTGGATTATGTCACAGCCGTTTCTGAATAAGAATATGCGTACAGAGAGAGAGAGAGATAGAATGTACAGGAAATATTCAATGTTTACTATGGTAATAGATAAAGTAAGACATCAGGGTATTTAGAACAGCAATGGCTTTAAAAACTACAGAACATTTGCAAAATGAAGACTATGGTTATGAAAGAGAACCCTCTGACCCCTTTTAATGAATGTATTTGTCTCTTGCTACTTTTTGCATTATAATAAAGAAGGATTTGAAGTTGAAAAAGGGACACAAACCAAAAGTTCACAAGCTTCCAGCCACACTTCAAAACCAATGATTGTTTTCAAGAGAAAGATACCAAAAAAATTAGAATCACAACAATCCCAATTGATCATGTACTTGATAAGTTTCTTCTGCAGTTCAAACGGACTTTTGTGCCTTTAGTCTGCATAAATTTGATTTTGGGAATTAATATCCATGTGCAGTGGAGGGTGCGTGGAGTGTTTAACAAAATCTGACTCTACTTTATTTCACAGAAATTTGTTACAATGAAAATTGTGATGTTGGGTCCATAATCACAAACATCAGTCTGAGCAAAATCAATGGTGGAAGAGGTAATTTTAATTGAATCACAGAACCTGGAGCATCATTCTTGTAACTTGTGATTAATAGTTGTATTACATTTTTCAACAGTTAAATATTTGTGACTAACAAGAACTTAAGCTTGTCATAAGACCAACGGGACTTGTAGTACTTCAGTAGCTTAAGCTTGTCATAAGACCAAGGGGACTTGTAGACTTCAGTAACTTAAGCTTGTCATAAGACCAAGGGGACTTATAGAACTTCAGTAACTTAAGCTTGTCATAAGACGAAGGGGACTTGTAGTACTTCAGTAACTTAAGCTTGTCATAAGACCAAGGGGACTTATAGAACTTCAGTAACTTAAGCTTGTCATAAGACCAAGGGGACTTGTAGAACTTCAGTAACTTAAGCTTGTCATAAGACCAAGGGGACTTGTAGAACTTCAGTAACTTAAGCTTGTCATAAGACCAAGGGGACTTGTAGGACTTCAGTAACTTAAGCTTGTCATAAGACCAAGGGGAGTTGTAGGATTTCAGTAACTTAAGCTTGTCATAAGACGAAGGGGACTTGTAGAACTTCAGTAACTTAAGCTTGTCATAAGACCAAGGGGACTTGTAGGACTTCAGTAACTTAAGCTTGTCATAAGACGAAGGGGACTTGTAGGACTTCAGTAACTTAAGTTGCAAAATGTTTAGATATTGAATAAAATAAAATAAATTAAATCTCCCATATTGGTGGTAAGTTTAGAGATTAAAAGTGTTAAAATCTGAAGTTTAATTCCCTGCAGTAGACACAGCATATAGTTCAATGTGGCTATACCCTAAAACAAACAGACAGATACCCCTTTTTTATTTTAATTGGGAATGAAAAAAGTTCACTATAAAATCCTACTATTTGTACTAGTTTGATGTAGCAGTTTATTTAGTTAACTCTTTAAAAGTGTTTTTAATTTCTGTAGGGCTTATTTGAAGGTTAATTATTGAGGAATATTCCAGTAAACTATGAGTTTTTTTTTTTGTTCTCGTATGAAGAGAGTGAAGTTAGCATCCACAGTCCGTTGGTCGTGAGCTTGAAAAACCCTCTTTGTTGCAATTCTAAACTGGTTGGGGGAAAAGGAATGTCTTTAGCTCTGCTGACAAAATTAAGCAAGAAATCTGAGAAGGTGAGCTGCTTGTCATTGAAATTAATTCATAGTAAAATACAGTTGTATGTGTGTGTGTTGTCTTACTTACTTAAACTAATAGATTGTTAAACTTGGAATTCATACATGGTCAGAGAACTGAGAGGTCTCAGAGTTAGGAACGTAGAAATATAGTCTTACTGATTTTTGATAATTAATGAAAACGTTTGTAATTCTTATTAAAAGTAATAAATAAAAAATATCATAACCTAATAATTTATACAAATCTATGTGATGGGCATATTATTAGGTTCTAGGTATATGCTGTGTTTACTATCACACACATATATATGTTAGTTTTGTTACTGGTGTAAGGAAACAATGTAACAGATGAAGAAAGAGCCTATCTTATGTTAAGTCTATGTGATGGTATACTATTAGATTCTAGGTATATGCTGTGTTTACTATCACACAGTTTTGTTACTGGTGTAAGGAAACAGTGTAACAGATGAAGAAAGAGCCTATCTTATGTTAAGTCTATGTGATGGGCATACTATTAGATTCTAGGTATATGCTGTGTTTACTATCACACACATATATATGTTAGTTTTGTTACTGGTGTAAGGAAACAATGTAACAGATGAAGAAAGAGCCTATCTTATGTTAAGTCTATGTGATGGGCATACTATTAGATTCTAGGTATATGCTGTGTTTACTATCACACAGTTTTGTTACTGGTGTAAGGAAACAGTGTAACAGATGAAGAAAGAGCCTATCTTATGTTAAGTCCACGTAAAATTGGCTCATTAAGCATCACATTTCATAACAATGTAGAAACATTATAATAGTAAGTCAGTATATATTTTGTCTCATGAAATAGTAATTATTGTTTTATTTTTTTTACCTTCAGTTCAGTGTTCCCAACGGTGTAGTTGTTACTGTTGTTGAAATAGTAAGTGTTGTTTTTACCTTCAGTTCAGTGTTCCCAACGGTGTAGTTGTTACTGTTGTTGAAATAGTAAGTGTTGTTTTATTTTTTTTTACCTTCAGTTCAGTGTTCCCAACGGCGTAGTTGTTACTGTTGTTGAAATAGTAAGTGTTGTTTTATTTTTTTACCTTCAGTTCAGTGTTCCCAACGGCGTAGTTGTTACTGTTGCTGCTTATCAAAGTCATCTTGTGAGGCATGTTGAATTGCAGAGGGCTATTGAGAACCTGTTGAGAACAAATAGGTACTGTTTCAAGTCAGTCTTCTTTCTCAGCTCAAATCATTCATTCACTAACTATGACAAGTCTTGTTATACATTTAAATTTGTAATTGTTTAATGAAGTAATATAGTTAAAGTAATTTTTTTTCTTGTAGTCCCAGTTTTTATGAAGTAATAACAACAACAACAAAGCTGTTTTCATCAGCTAATTTCTGTCACTTGCTTTTTTTCAGTGGAAAGACACAAGGAAGTTTAGAAAATGAATGTGTAAGGTAAGTGTGCAGAAGCAATAAACATCAAAATAGTGAAACATGGATATGGTTAGCATTATATGTTAGTCCTTGTGTTTCAATCACATACTTTATTACCCGTTTTGACTGTTACTATTGATTTCAATTTAGATATATCCATTTTTTTATCAAGTGTTAATTTGTTTTACTCTGTTACACTGTGTATTAAACAAATTTCATGAGACTTTGTGTTAAACCTGTGGTTTAGACATTAAACATTCTGCCTGTGATTTAGACATTAAACTTTCTACCTGTGGTTTACACATTAAACTTTCTACCTGTGGTTTACACATTAAATTGACTACCTGTAGTTTAGACATTAAACTTTCTACCTGTGGTTTACACATTAAACTTTCCACCTGTGCATTTAGACATGAAATTCACTACCTGTGGTTTACACATTAAATTGACTACCTGTAGTTTAGACATTAAACTTTCTACCTGTGGTTTACACATGAAATTCACTACCTGTGGTTTACACATTAAACTTTCCACCTGTGGATTTAGACATGAAATTCACTACCTGTGGTTTACACATTAAACTTTCCACCTGTGATTTAGAAATGAAATTGCTAATCTGTGCTTTAGATGCAAATAATTCATGTATAACCCAACAACTGTTTTATTCTATACAGCAAATGTTTGACTATACTCATAATTACTTGTGTGTAAAAAATATGATGTATTTACAACAATGTAGAATGTTTCATAAATAAACATGTTAATTCATGTGTATAAATTTGTGTCTTACATAACTGTGAAGGAGGTTAACAGTATCAGTTTCAGTCAGTTTACATAACTGTGAAGGAGGTTAACAGTAGCAAACTCAAACATCGAATTTAACCACAGTTAGTGATTAACTTTAACACAGAACCACACATCTAGTTTAACCACGGTTAATGATTAACCCTAACACAAACTCAAACATCGAATTTAACCACAGTTAGTGATTAACTTTAACACAGAACCACACATCTAGTTTAACCACGGTTAATGATTAACCCTAACACAGAACCACACATCTAGTTTAACCACGGTTAATGATTAACTTTAACACAAACT